ATAGGGGGAGGAGCAGGAGCAGGAGCAGGAGCAGGAGCAGGAGGAGGAGGAGGAGGAGGAGGAGGAGGAGGAGGAGGAGGAGGAAGGGGAGGAAGAGGAGGAGAGGAGCAGGAGGAGGAGGAGGAGGAGGAGCCGCAGCCATTTTGGCTCAAGGCCGCGAGAGGCTCGTCCGTAGTGTTGCGGCTGCTTTGGCTCAGCCTGTGCTCGGACGGCCCTCGGTGATGGCGCGGGATGCCCTCCGGGGCGCCGCCGCGGCGCGGGACGCTGCGGGCAGTTTTCCAACGCGCCAGTCTTCGTCACGAGCCTAGGATGCTTGTCGGAAGATGTGAAGGCGTCTACCATCTCGTGGTCAGATGCGCCGTCCTCCAGCCCAGCAGCGGGCCACCTCAGGAAGTTCGGCTTGGGCTGCACATGCGGGGCGGTGGTCTTCTCTGGCGTGAAGGCCCGCACCACCAGTCGACCAGAGAGCCGTGCGCGTTCGAGCCCAGGCTATTAGCGCGCTCGGTCAGACATCGCACACAAGTGGCTCCGCGGCGGCCTTTGCGAGGAGCCGAAGGATCGCAGGACGAACCACCTGTGCACGCCCGTTGAAGATGCCTCCGCCGCCGATGTCGAGTCCTGCACGCCCGGTGCCGCCGAAGAGTTTGACGTCAAAGCGGCCCGAGGCTTTGAGGAGCACGCCCCCGAAGCACCAGGCGGCGGTGGTTGCGGACAGCTCCTCTCTGATGGGGTGCCCCCCATTGAAGAAGGCTCTGAGGGTGAGTAGGCGACAGCTGCTGGACGCGCTGCTGCTGCTGCTGCTGCTGCTGAGCGGCTGGGCGGCGGCTGGGCGCGCGTCCCGCTGTTGATCATCTTTGGCCTGGGGCTGCTCATGCCGATTGTGTGGCAGGCCAGGTTCGTCATGGCGGTGGTCGCGCTTGCTGGCGACGGGCCCGATGCCCACAGGCATGGCGGTTCCGGGCGCGTCGTGGACTGGGCCCTCGACGGCAGTCCCTGGTACGCTGCCGACACCGATGATGTAGATCACGACCTCGGTAAATACAGACACACATACGATTGCCAGGTGGGCGAGCCGTGCCTCGTCATCTCCGACCTGTGCTCTTCATCTGGTACGTGGACGCCGTCGTGGGGACCAGCGTGTTCGGCCATGCGGGCCGATGAGGAACGTGAGGGTATGTACCTTCTGGCTGGCAGAGCACGGGGGCCTTTGGCACCAGACCCCCTCTTCGTATTGCATGTCGTGTTGCAGGAGCTCGTGCTTACCTCGCTGCTGGTCCTCACCTGATTGGGGGCCTTTACTTGTGTTGGAGCGAATGGCTCTGGCGCGCCCATGCTTGGGAATGGCACAAACGATCGGACCGAAAAACGGAATGAACGAGGACGAGGGTGAGGATGATGATGATGAGGAGGAGGAGGAGGAGGAAGAGGAAACAGAGGGGGAGGATGAGGAGGTGGAGGATGAGGAGGAGGAACAAGAAGAGAAGGAGGGGAGGGGAAGGGGCAAGGGGCCGAGGATCGGCACGACCAGAGTAGTAGTAGTAGTAGTAGTAGTAGTAGTAGTAGTAGTAGTCGTAGTCGTAGTCGTAGTTGTAGTAGTCGTAGTAGTCGTAGTAGTCGTAGTAGTCGTAGTAGTCGTAGTAGTCGTAGTAGTCGTAGTAGTCGTAGTATTAGTAGTAGTAGTAGTAGTAGTAGTAGTAGTAGAGTAGTAGTAGTAGTAGTAGTTAGTAGTAGTAGAGTAGTAGTAGTAGTAGTAGTAGTAGTAGTAGTAGTAGTAGTAGTAGTAGTCGTAGTCGTAGTCGGTCGTAGTCGTAGTAGTAGTAGTAGTAAGTAGTAGTAGTAGTAGTAGTAGTAGTAGTAGTAGTAGTAGTGTAGTAGTAGTAGTGTAGTAGTAGTGTAGTAGTCGTAGTAGTAGTAGTAGTAGTAGTAGTAGTAGTAGTACTAGCGTAGTAGTAGTAGTAGTAGTAGTCGTAGTTAGTAGTAGTCGTAGTAGTAGTAGTAGTAGTAGTAGTAGTAGTAGTAGTAGTAGTAGTAGTAGTAGTAGTAGTAGTAGTGTGAGGAGGAGGAGGAGGAGGAGGAGAAGGAGGGGGAGGGGGAGGACGACGACGACTACCACTAGACACCCAAGACGCAACAACGATGCTTTGGTACACCCTTTTTTTCTCCAGTTGTCCCATCCAATAATTTGTATCCGTTGCGAGAAGTGCCCCTGTGGGTGACAACCGTTTGCGTTTGATACTCTTCTCTGATGCCAAACCACCATGCCTGGGGCCCCACCGCTGCGAGTCAACGTGACTGATGCGCCCTTGCAATCCTACGTACACCATGCCAAAACACCCTTCCTGGGAAGTCAACACAGGGAACCCGCGTGACTGTTGCATCATGTTGCGGTCATGATATTTAGCGCCAGTCCGCGGACTTGAACCCCACGAATCCTCGACACTGCTGCAAACGTTTTAAGGCGAATGCGCGCGGCGCTGAGACGACAACCACATTTTGAACATGCGCCGCCCTCCATCGGTGAAATTGCCGCATACCTTATGTTAGGTCCCCGTTTTGAAGAGAGGGCCCCCGCGTTCCTCATTCCGTCCTTCCTCCTCATTCCTCCGCCTGCCCCCTCCTCCCTCCCCCCTGCGTTTCACCCACCCAGGACAGCCGTTCGTGGCCCCATAGGAGACTCCACCGAAGGCTCCAGTGCCACCGTCCTCATGCTTTCCGAAACATCCAATTCGGCGCTTCCACTCACTCAGTGCAGCGCTTCGTGACCCCATGGGGAGCTCCACCGAAGGCCCGGCGCAACCGTCCGCATGCGCCCCGAAACATTTAATTTCGCATCTTCACCCACCCAATACGGCGTTCAGTGGCTCCATTGGGAGCTCCAACGAAGGCTCCAGTACCATTGTCCGCACGCGTCCCGAAACATCCAATTTGGCGCTTGCACCCACCCAGTGCAGCGTTTCGTGGCATAGGGGGCTCCACCGAATGCCCCACTGCCACCGTCCGCGTGCGCCCCGAAACATCCAATATTGCATTTTCACCCACCCAGTACAGCGCTTCGTGGCCCCATAGGGAGCCCCACCGAAGGCTCCAGTGCCACCGTCCGCACGGGTCCCGAAACATCCAATTCGGCATTTTCACCCACCCAGTACAGGCCTTCGTGGCCCCAGAGGGAACTCCATCGAAGGCCCCAGTGCCACCGTCCGCATGGGTTCCGAAATATCCACTTTGGCACTTTCACCTGTTCAATACAGCGCTTCGTGGCCCCATAGGGAGCTCCACCGAAGGCTCCAGGTCTACAGCCCGCATGCGTACCCCCTACCCCAAAACAACGTTTCGTGGCCCCATACCCACCGAAGGCCCCAGTGACACCGCCTGCATGCGTCCCCCCCGCCCAGTACAGCGCTTCGTGGCCCCATATGGCGCTCCACCGACGGCCCCCCAGTGCTACCGCCCGCATGCGTTCTCCCCCACCCACTGCAGCGCTTCGTGGCCCCATAGGGAGCTCCCCCGAACAAACTATTCAGAATTGCGGTACCCACCACTGCATATGGTTGGGTTCCTCGCCAGGAGAACTCTTAAAAAAGGGAGCCGCCCCCTATCACTGAACTTGTTGCACATTTTGGTGAAACAGACTGCGCGCGGCGCTTTGGCGAGAGTCACATTTTGACAACGGCCCGCCTCCATCCGTCAAGCTGGTTGCTATATTCAAGTTTCATGGCCATGCGTGGCTAGGAAGTCGTAGGCGAAACTCCTGGTCCGCCCTGCGGACACGTTGGACGATGTAGCAGGGAGGAGTTATGGGATGGGAAGGGGGAGGGGGAGGCGACGACAGCGACGGCGACGACGACCTCCGATAACTGCCATGGGCGCCCGAAGCCCAACGAAAGCCTCTGGTGGAATGTCGGGGATCGCTACGACGACGACGACGACGGACGTCTGACAACGACGACGACGACGAGCGACGACGACGGCGACGACCACGACCACGACGACGACGACCACGACCACGACCACGACCACTGCGACGATTTTCGACGGCTGCCAAGGGCGCCTGAAACCCCGAAGCCCCGCGGCGGCGGCCGCCCCGCCGTTCGCTCGGCGGCCCGTGGCTGCCCCTGGGCGTCCGCCGCCTCTACAAGCTTGGGAGGCACTCCGAGCGGGCGCTGCTGGAGCACTTCTCTGGCTTCGGGCACGTCTCGCAGGCGACGAGCCGCTGCTCTTGGTGTCGCTCGGGCGTGCGCACTTTGTTTTCCCGTCGGGGATTAGTAAGGAGCATCATTGGTCATCCTGCGAAACAGAACCACGCACGAAACCGAACAAGAACACAGGGAATGGACGTCCGAGCGATGGCCAGTGTTCGGGGGGCCCCAACCAAGCCAGTGCGGTGACCACAATGTGTGGTGTGTCAGTGGGGATCTGGGGCGACCGCTCGGTCTCGGGGACTTGGGTCGTTCTGTAGGCGAGGGGTTCTTTCTCCGGGAAAAGGGTTACTTCTCTGGGAAAAGGATTACTTTTCCGGGTGAACTACCGAATCCTTGTAGACTGCTGGGGATCCTTCGGGAAGGTTTAGTTCTCCGGGTGAGATCACATCGAGGATCTGTCAACATTGTCTTTCGCAAATCGCAATATGTTGCCCTTCGGGAGCCACAAAGATGTCCCATCAGTCTGGCTCCGTTTGCCCGGAGAAGTAACTCTTCTAGGTAATAGTATCAGACTACATGTGGCGACCAAGTTGGTCGCAGTTCGTAGCTCGCAGCTCGCAGTTAGGAGTTAGCATATAGTACATAGGAGTTGGTATTTAATTATGAATGGTGGTCCGAACATAATTAACAATGCCTTGTTCGTACCTGGCCGTATGTAGCAAGTAGTTAGTAGTTAGTAGCTCGGAGTATGTCGGTAGTAGTTCGTAGCTAGTGGTTTGTAGTCAGTACTTAGTAGTCGTAGTAGTAGTAGTAGTCGTAGTAGTAGTAGTAGTAGTAGTAGTAGTAGTAGTAGTAGTAGTAGTAGTAGTAGTAGTAGTAGTAGTAGTAGTAGTAGTAGTAGTAGTAGTAGTAGTAGTAGTAGTAGTAGTAGTAGTAGTAGTAGTAGTAGTAGTAGTAGTAGTAGTAGTAGTAGTAGTAGTAGTAGTAGTAGTAGTAGTAGTAGTAGTAGTAGTAGTAGTAGTAGTAGTAGTAGTAGTAGTAGTAGTAGTAGTAGTAGTAGTAGTAGTAGTAGTAGTAGTAGTAGTAGTAGCAGAGTAGTAGTTAGTAGTAGTAGTAGTAGTCGTAGTCGTAGTCGTAGTAGTGGTAGTAGTCGTAGTAGTAGCAGCAGTAGTAGTAGTAGTAGTAGTAGTAGTAGTAGTAGTAGTAGTAGTAGTAGTAGTAGTAGTAGTAGTAGTAGTAGTAGTAGTAGTAGTAGTAGTAGTAGTAGTAGTAGTAGTAGTAGTAGTAGTAGTAGTAGTAGTAGTAGTAGTAGTAGTAGTAGTAGTAGTAGTAGTAGTAGTAGCAGTAGGAGTAGGAGTAGGAGTCAAGCTAGCCAGCTCGAGCGAGTCAAGCATGGCATGCCCAGTCCCACCCGCCCTCCCACAACATAAGAAGCAAAGCTGGCACAACTGGGGGCCGAAGTCACACCGGCCAGCCGGTTTGGTACAGCTGATGCGGCCGCGATGGCGGTTGCCGACGGGAACTGGCGAGCGCGTGTTGAATGCCGCGCACGCATTGCCAGACGAGTCGAGAATGGCCCGGTACACCGCAGGAAGCCAGAGGAAGCCGGAGGAAGCCCGACGGTCTGACAGGACACCCCAAGGGGGCCCAGGAGGCCCCAAGAGGCGTAGGAGTAGGATTAGTAGTAGTAGTAGTAGTCGTAGTAGTAGTAGTAGTAGTAGTAGTAGTAGTAGTAGTAGTAGTAGTAGTAGTAGTAGTGGTAGTAGTAGTAGTAGTAATAGTTGTAGTAGTAGTAGTAGTAGTAGTAGTAGTAGTAGTAGCAGTAGTAGTTGGTAGCCAGTAGTTAGTAGTTATTAGTCGCAGTATTAGTAGTAGGAGAAGTAGTACTAGTAGTGGTAGCCGCAGTAGTATTAGTGGTCGTAGTAGTCGTTCTAGTAGTATTATTATTATTAGAAGTAGTAGTAGTAGTAGTAGTAGTAGTAGTCGTAGTCGTAGTCGTAGTCGTAGTCGTAGTAGTAGTAGTAGTAGTAGTAGAAGTAGCCGTAGTAGTAGTAGTAGTAGTCTTTATATTCAAAGTAGTAGAAATAGTAGTCGTAGTAGTAATCGTAGTCGGAGTCGTAGTCGTAATTATATTTCTCATTGGTAGTAGTAGAAGTAGTATGAGTAATGGTCGTAGCAGTGCTAGTAGTAGTCAACGTGCACGTATTCGTAGTAGTAGTCGTAGTCGTAGTAGTAGTCGTAGTCGTAGCAGTAGTGGTAGTAGTAGTAATAGTAGTAGTAGTCGTAGTAGTAGTGGTCGCCGTCGCCGTGGTAGTGTTAGTGGTAGTAGTGGTAGTAGTGGTAGTAGTAGTAGTAGTAGAAGTAGCCGTAGTAGCAGTAGTAGTAGCAGTAGTAGTTTTAGCAGTAGTAGTAGTAGTAGTAGTAGTAGTAGTAGTAGTAATTGTAGCAGTAGTAGTCGTAGTAGTAGTAGTAGTAGTAGTAGTAGTAGTAGTAGTAGTCGTAGTAGTAGTAGTAGTAGTAGTAGTAGTAGTAGTAGCAGTAGTAGTAGTAGTTTGGGTGGAGGTTTGTTTCATCAGCTGTTGTTTCGTCCGGTTTTGTTTTGTCCGAGTTTGTTTCGTTCGATTTTGTTTCGTCCGCTCTTGTTTCACCCGATTTTGTTTCGTCCGTCTTTTGTTTCGTCCGCTTTTGTTTCATCAGCTTTGGTTTCGTCCGCTTTTGTTTCGTCCGCTTTTGTTTCGTCCGCTTCGGTTTCGTCCGCTTTGGTTTCGTCCGCTGTGTTCTGCGTGATTTGTGTAGCAGTCGGGGGGATGAAAACCAGATGATTTTAAACCGGACAAATTAAAACCGGATGAGTTCAGGCCGGACGAATTAATACCGGATAAATTTAAACCGGACGAATTAACACCGGATGATTTTGAACGGGCGGATGAAAACCGGATGACTTTAAACCGGGCGAATTCAAACCGGATGAATTCAGACCGGACGAATTAAAACCGGATGAATTCAAACCGGACGAATTAAAAGAGGATGAATTAAACAGGACGTGTAAAAACACATGGATACAGTTTTGGGCAACCATGTTAGATACCCCTTGGGTGGCCTGAGTAGTAAAAAACACATGATGAGTGGTCTGGACGTTTTAAAACCATGGTCGTTGCTCGGGCCAACCATGTAAGATACCCCCCCTGGGTGGCCTGGACACGTAAAAACACGTGTTGCCAGCTTGGGACAACCATGTTAGATACACCCCTGAGTTGCCTGGACACGTTTAAACACGTGTCCTTGCTCAGGACAATTATGTTAGATACTCCCCTGGGTGGGCTGGACATGTATAAACATGGGGGTCCAGTTTGGGGCAATCATGTTAGATACCCCTCTGGGTGGCCTGGACACGTACAAACCCATGGTTCCAGCTCGGGACAACCATGTTCGATACCCCCCTGGGTGTCTTGGGACCTCGTGGGGCCTCCTGAAGAGGGCCAATCTACAGGAACACGCCTAAAACACACGGGTTCGTGCCCCTGGAGAGGGCCAATCGATGGGAACACATGAATAACACGCAGATTCGTGCCCCTTACCGAAATTTGTCCCGCACCTTGTGATTTATCGATCGGAATTTCAAACGCGAGCGTTTTGCGAGGGGCATCCTTAATTTTCCCACGCCGAATGGGACTTTACTTATTTATTTCTAGCCAGTAATTTCGCTGGCCGACGCCGGGGGGAAACAAAACGATACTAAAAGATAACCTTGGGCCCGCGCCCTTTCCGGGAACCTGATCGACCCACGAACCCGGAAAGTAATGCAGTGATCGAAGGCATGGCAACGTTTCACATACATGTGAGTAGGCGACGGGCAAAAGTCGTGCCGAGTCTATCGATCTTGATGTACCGTGCCGAGGGCTGTGTTGTGCTGCGCCGTGCTGAAATGCGATATGCCATGCCGCGATTGTGCTCTATAGCATTGTGGATCGCGTCTTCGCTTGGATCCGAGTCCTGACCGAACTGGTCTGGATCTTAAGCTCGAGCTGCCTGAGCACACAGTAGCTGCACTAGAGCTAATTGACAGGGGGACATGCAATGAGGACGCGCCGCGGAACGTCTCATGGGACGCGCCAAGCGACGTGCCAGGGGGTGTGCCATGGGGACGCACCGCGGGACGTGCCGAAGGGACGCGCTACGGAACGTGGCAATGGACGTGCCACGCGACGTGCCAGGGGACGCGCCGCGCGACGTGCCAGGGGGATTCGCCACGGGACGCGCCACGGAACGTGCCAAGGAACGTACCAGGCTGCACTGTTGAGTGTATGAATCTTGATGTACCGTTCCGAGGGCTGTGCTGTGCTGCGCCGTGCTGAACTGCGATGTGCCATGCCGCGATTGTGTTCTATAGTAGTGTTTTGGGTCGAGTCCTCCTTTGCGTCCGAATCCTGACCGAACTGATCTGGATCTTGAGCTCGAACTGCCGGAGCACATAGTAGCTGCCCCAGAGCGTTGTGGAACCCATGTGTGTTCACGCTTGCCCCGCCCTGGGGCATTAAGAACTATAATATTTCAAGCTTGCCCCGCCATGGGGCGTTAGGAACCCATGTGTTTTCACGTATCTCCCGCCCTGGGGCATTCGGAACCTATGTGTTTTCACGTTTGTCCCGCTCTGGGGCGAAAGAACCCATGTGTTTTCGCGCTTCCCCTACCCAAGGATGTTAGGAGCCCATGTGTTTTCATGCTTGTCCCGCCCCGGGCCGTTAGGATCCGATATGTTCTCACGCTTCTCGAGCCTCCTGGGGCCTCCTGGGGGCTGGAGGGAAGCGACAAACGTTCCCCGAGCACATATCCCAATACAGAACAGGAGGCCCATGTTGGATACCCCCAAGGTGGCCTGGACACGTTAAAACACATGGTTCCGCCATGCCAAATGCCCCCCTGTGCCGCCTGGACGCGTGAAACCACGTGGTTTCAACTCGGGACAATCATGCTAGATACCCCCCCGGGTGGCCTGGACACGTGAACGCGTGGGACCAGCTCTGGGCAACCATGTTAGGTACACCCCTGGGTGGCATGGA